GAAATTTAACTCAGCTTTCTAAAATAATGTGGTTAATCACAGTTCTTTCATGTTTTAACAGGAGGGGGCAATACATTTTTCACGTAGGGCCAAGCAGGTTTGAACAGCTTTTTTCCCTTAATAAATGAAATTATCATTTAAAAACGGCATTGTGTATTTGTCAGAATTGACAGCAAAATAATTTATAATGTTACAGAAGATTTATTTTTCAAATAAATGCTGTTCTTTTGAACTTTCTATTCATCTGTGAATCCTGAAAAATCAAATGTATCACAGTTTCCTCAAAAATATTAATGTTTTCAACATTGATAATAATCAGAAATGTTTGTTGAGCAGCAGATCAGCATATTGTACTGATTTCTGAAGATCATGTGACACTGAAGACTGGAGTAATGATGCTGAAAATACAGCTGCGCATCACAGAAATACATTACAGTTTAACAGAGATTCACACAGAAAACAGTTATTTTAAATTGGAATAATATTTAACTTTTTTGTGTGTTTTTGATCAAATAAATGCAGCCCTTTCAAAACCATTCCAAAATCCCAAACTTTTGAACAGTAGTGTATTTATCAGAGATTCTCTCTCCTCAGCACTGTCGGGGTTCAGGTTCTGTTTGTGATCTCTGCTGGAATCCAGCTGGTTTCAGAGCTTCAGCGGCGCTGAGGACACTCAGTCATTATTAAAGCTGCTCTGAGCTGCTGTTCTCCAGTGTGCTGCAGGGTTCAGTGGGCTCTGCTAAAGAGCGATGGGACAGAGATGTGTAAAAATAGAGCAGAAGTAAGACAGGAGATTAGAGATCTGCAGGAGACTGGAGGGAACATGGGAACACAACACGACTGAGATGGAGTACGTTCTTGTCCAAGACGTCTCAAACAAGACTCACAATAGAGCTGAATTAAAGGAATTTTTTACCCAAAAGTTAAGTTTTTTTTTTTACAAACACGCAGCTTTTGTCTTCTCAATATGTCAACTGATGGACTGGAGTGGTGTGGATTATTGTGATGTATTTATCAGCTGTTTGGACTCTCATTCTGACGGCACCCATTCACTGCTGAGACACTGATGCAATGCTTTCTGGGGTCAACTATTCCTTTAAAGTTGCAATGAAATGCCAGTATCGACAGATCTTTTCTTATGCATTGGTAGAGTACTAATATTAATAAATGTAACTGATGTAAAGTTTTACCAAACAATGAAAGATATGCACAGACGAATCCTACACTATAAGCTCTATAACATGCATTTAGAAAATAAATGGGTGAATTTCTATTTGATGCTGACTTTGTCGCTCTGCAAAGGAGCTGTTCATCTAAGACTGATGTTCTTCTCATCCAGCAGATGTCTTCATCAGTCTTCATCAGGTCCTGCGTGTCAGATGTGTGTCGTGAACTACAGGTGCGACTGACCTCACAGTAACACTGAAGTGTTTATTCTGGAGACTGCTGCTTTCCTGAGCACTGAAACACACACCGTCCATTATCACAGTCGCCACATCCGTGACATAACAAGGTCAGAGCCATAATTCTCCCAGAAGCCCCTGCTGCGCGCCATCACTCATCACACAGAGGAGCATTAGAGGAACCACAGAGAGAGACTGGGAATCTCACATTTCACCCCGGAATCAACAGAAAGAAATATGAAAGCATATTTTACCATTTTTAGAATCATTAAAGTCAAGTCAAATTGAATTGCATGCCGTTTTTCTCAACACACACTGTTTCAAAGCAGCTTTACAGAAAATCATGATGTTGATGTTTATAATATCTTAATATCTTCATGCCTAATAGTTGCATTTATCAGATCCCAGCTGAACGATAATAAAGTTTGAATTCATATATGCGCACATGAATCATTCACAATAAAATCAATAGCATGCATTTAGTAAACAGACAAGCTTATCGGTTTTCTAAATGCATGTTATTGATCTTATTGTGAATGATTTATTTGTGCACGTGTTTCATTTTTGTAAAAATAGTTTTGACCTCAATTTTATTAAAATATCATAGCTTTTTTTTTTATAATCTGTTGCATTTGGATGTACGTAATAATATCAAAGAAAAAGTCAATCGCTGCTTCTGTTACATTACAAGATTTTTTCCACTGCATGAGTGAATCGAGAGTATTCACCAGCCAAAAGTATTTCTTACAAGCCATGAAACTCTATTTAGCATTTTCTTAACCCATTGTAAATGAGCAATTGCTTCCAAATCACTTATTCTTGAGACACAAACAGATGACAGTCTCTGCTATTGTTCCTCAATCATTAACACTGATCATTTTCTCTGAAGCAGCTCTGTAACACTGGACGCTTTGTGCACTCTAGTGAGGGATCTGCAGTGCGCTCTAATGAGGGATCATCACGTCAGCTTCACAAATGACTCCAACCCTCTTGAGGCTCAATAAACGCTCCGAGTTTACACTCCTGAAGACCAGAAAGATCAGCACGACCATCAACACTGTCGCTGCTTCTGTTACATTACAAGATTTTTTCCACTGCATGAGTGAATCGAGAGTATTCACCAGCCAAAAGTATTTCTTACAAGACATGAAAACTCTATTTTGCATTTTCTTAACACTATTTTTTAAACCTATTGTCAATGAGCAATTGCTTCCAAATCACTTATTCTTGAGACACAAACAGATGACAGTCTCTGCTATTGTTCCTCAATCATTAACACTGATCATTTTCTCTGAAGCAGCTCTGTAACACTGGACGCTTTGTGCACTCTAGTGAGGGATCTGCAGTGCGCTCTAATGAGGGATCATCACGTCAGCTTCACAAATGACTCCAACCCTCTTGAGGCTCAATAAACGCTCCGAGTTTACACTCCTGAAGACCAGAAAGATCAGCACGACCATCAACACTGGAGGTTCAAACCCCAGAAGAGCCTTCAGAGACGGCAGTTCACCGATGGAGATCACAGAGTAATCATATAAAGCAGAAACTCACCATCCATCAGGAACCAGGAAGAAAGATCCAGACCCCGAGCAGCAGGATGAAAACCAGCACAGGAGAAGCTACCGATTGTGCTTCGTTATTGAAAATTATGACGAAAAATATGTGTTGATGACTTTTTGTTCTATGACAAAGATGAGACGAGATGACACTGACATCATTCAACTCTAACTGTGACTATATCAATATGCAATATCATTAATTTAAAAAACTAAACAAAAAAAAGACAAAAATGTAATTCACAAAACAAAAACTCGATGTATTTCCTTCATCAAAAAAAACAAAACAAAAAACAGTTTTTTTATGCTTGCACCCTAACCCTAATCCTCCAATCAGAGCTTCTCTCACAAAAGGACACATTTTCTGCCCTGTGTTTTATTTATCTTCCCGACCTGGCAACCATTCACACACACTCCAATTCGGGGCGAGTTGGAAAATAAACTGCACAGATCTATTGTACTTTGGCTTGAGTTGCAGAAGGCATGGGATAACATTAATGTTGAAGTTCTCAGGAAATATACTGACACTATGCCAGAGAGATGTGCTGCTGTAATTGCTGCAAAAGGTGCACATACCAAATATTAAAGTTGGATAAAAAGAGTACGACTCACTTCATCTGACATTTGATGTGCTCACAGCAACCATCTGCATGCTTCATGAACATCATGAAATAAAATCATGTTTTGGAGGCAAAAAAAGGTCAATATTTTCTAACAATTTTACCCACTACTGTAATTATGAGTTGAATAATTGTGATTATCAGTTTAACCATGTATCCTGACTAAAATGTGTTTTAATAGAATAAAACTCCCAGATTCTTAGTCAACTAAAACCTGACTAAGACTAAATCAGGATGAAGACGAGCCGGGACTCACAGGGTGAAGTTCTCCTCCGGATAGCAGCGGTTGCGCAGAAGTCCAGCCCAGAGCTGCACACCGATGATGCCGAAGACGAAGAAGACGAAGAAGCACAGCAGCAGCACGTTCCCCAACATCGGCAGCGTGTCCAGCAGCAGATTCACCAGGATCCTCATGCCTGACACACACAGAACATGGCTTAACACTCAGATATACAGCACAATAAACACAAAACACACACATCTGCCCTTCACAAGACAATCAGCCTGAAAGATCTCTGACCAAATCAAGCCATCAGTGCTGGATCAGAAGGGAATCTGTCTCTATTTCAGCTTCATCACAAAAACTGCAATAAGCCATACATTCTTCAACTTCGTTCCTTGAGTTACAACTTCACATGCAAACAAAGAGCAGATGAGCTGCGTTTGGGGACGAACTTTCCAGGAGCAGAGCTTCCTGACATGCGAAGGATGTAAGGATCTCTGAAGGCGTTTCTGACTGATGTTCCTCCTCTCATCTCCTCACTAACTGCTCCACGTTCACTCAGATGTTTTGCTGTAGTTTGGAGGTCTAGTAGTCAAACAGAGTGTTTCCAGAGTGCAGGTGAAGTAAAAAGCGTCTAAATAACGAGCAAGTCACTTCTGACACACTCACACTCACTGAAGAAACTTCACTGAGAGTTTGGGAGTTTGAGACAAAATCACAACCTCTGACAGACTGCAAAGAAACGCCTCGCTCTGTTCCAGAAAGGCCAAATTAAACATTCTCAACTCGTTTTACTTGCATGATGCGATGAATTCATTGTCCATACAGCAGAGCACCATGCTGATGTCTGAGTGTGTGAATCTCTGTTTGTGTTTATGAATGAATTGATTCATTTGTGTCGGTTCATAATGGTTCTAAATGACTCAGTAGTGTGTTCAAAGCTTCAACACAAGCGATACTCATCAGCTGGGCTGAAATGTGTTTTGGATGTGTTGTGAATGATTAACAGAGTGAAAACACAAAAATAAAATTTAACCATTTTGGAAAATAATTTACTCCCAGAAGTGAGATAAACCTGATAAAACTTTCCAAAAAAACTGCTTTAAGCGGCATTCTCATTGGCAAAAACCACAAAAAAACATTTTTTTTAAAATGCTAAATGTTGTCTGTTATGGTTAGGTTACAGTATTCAGAACGAGTTGTATATAAAACAGGGCTTCTGCAGGTGTTAAGAATCTAAATTTAAGACTTTAAGACAGAGTAAAGAAAATGTAAGGAATAAATTAAATGTGACACAATGTGGTATAAATGTAAATGTATTAGAAACACTTCAACTTCCAACAGATCTGTATTACTTTTTAATTAATTTTACAAAATATGGAAATATATTTTCTACACCTAGTGATCACAGAGGGGGAAAAAAGTGCTGTTCTTCATCAGTATTTTTGTCCTGTTTTCCAGTGCAAATCATTGCCTTGGAATCATAAGGTTCTATCTGACATTTTTGTCGAAATTGAGTTATTCACATATTCTTATTCTGTGACTTATTTACATTGTGATTTTTTTTTTTTTTAAGTTGTGCACATTTTAGGACTTTTTATTTATAAAACAAAAAGGTTCTGTCTACAAAGTCAAAACTCTAACTTGGTTCTATAAGGTTCTATGTGTGAGCCAATAAGCACTTTGAATGCACACAAGAGGACCAATCAGGTTCACCTTTCTTTCTTTCTTTTCAACTGCGCTTGACTGCACAATCCGACACAGCCGCCTCGCGTCGCGAGAGTTTTTTGGCACACCTCAGCATGACATCAGAGCAAGTCAGACGCAGTTGCTCTCCACCGACTGCGCTGACCAAAAGCATGATGGGAAACGACTGACTGAAGACACAGCTTAATGCTTATTTGGTTCAGACAACTGTGATGCTGCGTTCTCTTCTAAAATATTTGATTTATTATCTGATTTTTATCTGGCACTTTGAGGGTCTTGATCATCATATTTATTTTCATATAAAAGCAACAGAACTGAAATTATATCATGTTTATTGGCAACACAACATGCAAGTGAGAATAAGGCGATATCTGTCTTTGATCTCGTTGGTATCTGCTCCACTTCGAGAGGTCAGAACTGTCCGTCTTGACTGCGCTTATTTCACTCCTCCCCTCACTGCAGCCGCCTACATTTCAGGCGAGACGAGGCGCATCTCAAACAAGCCTATTGTGGGATACAACAGTGCTTTGACAACTGCGTCGGAGCCTCGGTATCAACCGTCCCATCACTAGCAGGAGCAGAGCAGAAGCGGCAGTGCAGTCTACAGCATAAAGGCCTCACATTCAGTGACCCGCCCAGAGTCGGTGGTTCGGCTGTATTCTGAGAAGATGAAAATGTGAGCTGAAATGCTCCAGGAAACTCTAAGTACGTGCCAGGCTTCGGCCTTGACTTTTTCATTCACCCAGATTCTCTGACTCAAAACTGGTTCTATTTCATCAACCAACTTCAGCAAAGATCAACTGGAACCTTCAGATTACATCAAACCTCTCTTTCAGACAGATGAGACGTGCAAGTATTCAAACTTAGTTTTATTGATACATTAGGCATCATTTGCACCTGTTTACAAAGGTGTGTTTGAACTAAGAATCTGATGTCTCCCTCAGGTGTAGATCTGCTGAATATGCAAATGGTTCCAAAACTTCATTCCTTATTGCCTCTTTACTGCTTAAGCTTGAACCCTTTCCTATACCAACTGTATGACTGAATTAAACCTTACCACATTAAATATTTGAACAACATTAATTTGTTGATTCATTTGTGATTAATTACTGATAATCAGCCTTCATCCATGA